GACACGCTGCTTCGCAATTTATTTTTGTCATTTCCCCTCATTGAAAATAGACATGCATCGCCTCACCCGTTTCTGTGTGCACCATTCAGGGACATTGACTGTGCTGTTGGAGTTGTACAACGGTCCTCACTCTCTTCTTCTGAACTGTTCTTCCTACATCGACTGAACTCACTGCCCCTTCAGCTGCTGCCTGACCTTTTGAGTCTCTGCGGTCCATGTGATCCCACAAAAATGCTTCTTTGAGCAACACTGTGTCCAGGGCAGAGAGTCCTGACTGGTTACGCCAAAGCATTGTTGAGTCGAGAGAAGGCGTCGGGAAGCCATTTGGGTTTAAGGTTTTAAATGTTCATGAGGACGATAGTTTGGGGGATTCTACCAGTCTCTGGCTCCAGGAAGTGTGGTTTCCAAGAGGATTTGGGGTTTTGAGGGACAGGATTCTTTGGGGACAGACTTCTCATCAGCCCTGATGGTCTTAGGTAGCAATGTCCCTCCCGGGCAGTCAGTGTGTTAGTTATGTGCTGCTGCTATAAGAATAAGACAAGTGGACGGGCTTAACACACAGAAAGGTGTCTCTCACAGTTTGGGAGGCTAGGCATCTGACTGTAGAGGGCCAATTCTTGGATACGGTTTCCTCTCTCTGTAAACTCAGGTGGCAGGCCCCTGTCTCCTTTCAACATCTGTGTGACCAGCATGCCTTGGAAATGTCCATGTGAGTCTCCCGCCCCCCTGGGTTTAGGAGGTTCTCAGCGTAGGGGCTCTGAGTCGAGTCCAAAGGGCAGGCTCCGCTCCTAGTTGTTCTCTCTGGGTGGTAGTATGTTCCTCTACCTGTGCTCAGTTCTCCCTCTTTAAATTCTTATAAAAGGTGGTATAGGACACAGTCCAGGGACACTTTCCCTCCGTTAGATCAGGACTGAGGCCTGAGTAGGGGTATTGCTTCCTACCCTTTGTCCCAAATTGGCTGATTCCCATCATGAGGGATGATAGCATTATTGTGTAACTGCCAAATCTCTGAGAGTCATAGCCCAGCCAAGTGGATACATATTTTTGGAGGACAACATTCAATCCATCCCGGGCAGTATTTCCTATATTAAAATAAATTCGTTCGGTGTTTGTTAAGGTGCTTCACTGTGTTATGGGTGATTACCTGGATAGATACCTATTACAATTGGGTCATGGATTGAATGGTATCCCCTCTGAAGATGAATCCATTTGGCTGGGCCATGATTCTCAGTCCCATTGTAATTATTCTATGATGTCATTATTGTGATCTGATGTCCTCAGCGTCATAAATCGTAGCCTCTATGAGGTTAATGAGGCAGGAGTAGAGGCAACTGTGTTAAGGCAGGATCTGATGCACAGCTTAGTTGGTTTCTGGAGACAGTCTCTTCTGAGATATAAAAGAGATTACACAAGGACAGAGCAGAGAGACCTGACTGCTGCCGAGCAGGAAGAGCCGGGAGCAGAGCCATCACGTCCTTTGGACTTGGGTCCAAGCCCTGAGACCCTCCCAGACCCAGGAGAAGACTGATCGAGATGCACGGAGATCTCCGAGGTCCTCACAGATGGTGAGAGGTGAAAAGGGCCTTCCTTCCGAGCTGAGGGAGGCAGCTTTTCCGAGAGCCGGCCCCGCGAGTTCAGATTCTGAGCCTCCTCCACTGTGAGAAGAGACACCGCTACTTCTGCAAGCCCTCCCCTTGTGCTGTTTGTGTCGGAGCAGCGGTAGGCAAGGAAGATGGCTGCCAGGCGTCAGAAAGGACTCTACAGCCATGGGAGCCCTTCTGCTCTGTTCTCTCAGGTGCCCAGGTGGCTTCAGAACCTCACGGACTCCTTGTAGCCCATCAGCCTTTGGTGAAATCCATTTTTCAAATGAGGAAGCCAAAGTCCTCGGACGTTGGAGCACTTGGCTCGGGTTCCCCCTCGACCCTCCCGCCCCGCTCTGAGAAGAAGGGGTTACGTCTTGGAGACCATCTGTCAGTGACCCCTCTAGATGCGTTCCTTGGAATTTTCCTCCGAGCCACAGAGCCAGGCGGGTCGCCAAACCATATATACATGGCTGGGTAGCCAGGCAACGCGGTGCTCTTTCTGAGAATGCTCACAATGTGACCACTGTTCCTCAGACCTCGGGTTCCAGATGCGGAGCAAGACTTTAATCCCCAGCCTGGCAGCTGTTTGGCATCTCTCACTCCTGAGACCCGCCTGCTCTGCCCGTCTCCACGCGGATTCCCCAGGGCAGCCCTCTTGTCGCCTTCGGCTTCTGGCTCTTACACGCCACTCTTTTCACATTGGGTTAAACTGTCAAAGGAATGATATCTATATAATACATATAATTTATATACAAGATACAATGTTATATTAAATTATATATACCGTATATTTTATACTATATTTATGTTATATAAGGTGTGATTTATACTATGCTATATGTAGTATAGTATATGATATATTATTTTATATTACATATAATTTTATATGTATTAGATATAATTTTAGTATTTTATTAGATGTTATTTTTATTATATATTACACTATACATAGTATATTTTTGGCATTTTCTGTATATTATAGAATATCTATATTATATGTCTTTTACTAGGGGTCCCACTTGGGTGGTGCAAACAGTTAAGTCCCCAACTCCTAGCAGACAGCTGGCAGTTTAACGCCATCAGAGCATGGGCACCTCAGAAGAAAGGTCTGGTGATCTGTTTCTGTCACCACAGTCTTTCCCTGAGATACTGACACTCAGCCACCCTTCAGGCCTGGAACCGAACACACCCCCTGGGATTCGGCTTTCCGCCAAACCAAATGCAGGTGATAAGGTGACCGATAACCTCTAGGGGCACAGGCTCCTGAAAACAGGGTGGGACCATTTGGAGATTTATAACACCACTTGTGGGCCGTCCTGGCCAAACAGAATTAGCTCACCTCTCGTGGGATTGTCCTGGTGGCATAGCAATTATGCTTTGGTCTCAAGGTAGGCTGTTTGAACCCACCAGGTGCTCGAAGGGGAAAAGATGAGGCTTTCTACTCCTGTGAAGAGTGACAGTCTTGGAAACACCACAGCCACATGTCCAATCTGTGCCAGAGGGTCCCTGTGAGTTGAGAAAGACTCCGTGGGAATGAGTTAATGTAATGGCCGGAACTGCTCCTCCTGGGGAGGCATGGGGTAGCTGGTGTGGATGATTCCGAGGGCCTAATGAGGCCTGCAGGCTGGACAGTCCTCCGCCCTGCCTTAGAACCACCAACCATTCCAGAACGAAACTGCAGCCTGTGTCCAGTGCTCAGAGCTCAGAATGCAGGGAGGGAGAGCGAAGTAGAATGAATGGAAAGGAGAAACACAAGGAGACAGTTAGAAGAGTGGGAATTGCAATCACTGTCAAGAAACAAAATGTGTTTGAATTGCTGAGTGGAAAACCAGTGTGTTCTGTTAACTTCCATGCAAATCACAAGAATTAGATAGATAGATAGATAGATAGATAGATAGATAGATAGATAGATAGATGATAGATAGATAGAACACATGGGGACTTGACTGCATGGTGGTCAACAAAAACCACAGCCGTTTACATGTTGTTTTGTGTGCAAAGAGTTGGATGGTCATCATTCCAACTCTTTGCACACAAAACAACATGTAGAGTTATCTGAACACAGTGAGGTTCGCACCTTGGAGGGAGCAAAATTGTAAGTAGGCAAGCGGTAGGAGGAAGAGCCCAGAAACTTAGAAAAAGAGGCTAGTCGCTGGTGATTGATTGGTGTTGAGTGATTGGTGGTGGTGGTGGTGGTGTGTGGTCAGAAAACAAGGCCAAGGTGTGTGTGTCACTGTTTCAGTGAAAGATGGAGACCAGGTTGGGTAGGGAAACTTCCAGTTTACTTTTGCAGGCTCTAGACCAGGGGTCCTCAAACTACGGCCCCGCGGACCACATGCGGCCCACTGAGGACATGTATCTGGCCCGCCTGGTGTTTTTTCCCCCGTTTGTTTTTTTCCTTCAAAATAAGATATGTGCAGTGTGCATAGGAATTTGTTCATAGTTTTTTTAAAGCTATAGTCCGGCCCTCCAACGGGTCTGAGGGACAGTGAACTGGCCCCCTGTTTAAAAAGTTTGAGGACCCCTGCTCTAGACAGAGGGAAAAAGTGGGGTTTGCAACCGCCAAACTGCTTCGAAGATTGCGTGACAATCAAACAAGGTATGTACCTTAACTTGTATATAGTCATGCACTGGTGGTGCAGTGGTTACATTCTTGGGCTGCTCACCCCAAGGTCAGCAGTTTGAGGCCACTGGCCGTTCTGTAGGAGGAAGACAAAGCTTTCTGCTCCCACGAAGGGTCCTAGTCCTCGGTGGGATAATTTGGAAGGGATATCACTGAAGGCTGCACAACACGAAGAGTGTAATCACCGGCTTCGAATCACACATGCAGGGTGGGATTGGAGAACGTTTTGTGGCGTGCATTTTCACCACAATTAGAAAAGAAGGACCTGAATAGCAATGAGTACAAGGAAGAAGAAGATGTTCTAGATCTGGATGTGCTGATAATGGTACAGCCCTTCTTGAGCTGATTGGATTATTGGATTGTATGGCATGTGGATGATGTCAGACAATTAATACAACTGTTTTGTTAAAGAGTCCCCATCTGGGAGACCCAAAGGGGCAGGTTCTACCCTCTCCTGTCATGGCCAGTGTGAGTCAAAGGGGACTGGACAGGGCACTGAGTTGGAGGTTTTGGGTATCCCTGAAACTATAGGACCAAACAGGTTTAGCAACAGACCCAAGAGATCATCAAGAAGTTTCCCAATGATAAGGATCTTAAATGAGGTGAGAAGGCTTTGCAGGAATCAGCCTCCACTTCTCCAGGGGATTCTCAGACCACCAGTTGACTGCCACCGTTCTCCAGCCCCGGCTGGGCTGTCAGAGCTCCACTGCTGATTTCAAGAACCCTGCTTGCCTCTAGACTGGGAACACCCGTACTGACTGATGACGTTTCTCTTTTTTTTTACTTTTTGTTTATAGGGGAGAGTGCAAACGCCGTCCCCCACTACCACAAAGTATGCAGTCAAGTTGCCCACATTGGGGGAACTCGCAGGGGGCAGCACACCCGGAGTGCAATGGGTGAGCGTGTCCTGGAAAAACCACCTTCATGGTCATGGTATGTCCCCTGCCAGGTATGTATGACTAATAAAGTTTCAAAGGAATGTTTCACTGGAAGGGAAGGGGCTGTTAGAGG